TATACCACCGTGTTCGCAATAAAATTATCTTTATTTTCATATATAATTTATTGCGCAAGCAGATCGGTGCAAATTACTACATCGACTCACCTGTTCATACCTGGCAACCCAATAGTAATGAACAGAAAAAGGTAGGCAACCCAATTTTTTCATACTCCTTAGGCTTCATACTTTCGATTGGTATTTAATTTTTCTGGTGAGCAAGTAGATGAAGTAATAAAAAATTATTAATTTTTGTATTTTTAATAAATCATATCCTTGAACATATTTTTTTAGGCAACCCATTCGCGATATATTCCTTTGCATATTAAATTTGATAAAAAATAAGTTTCATCCGGTAAGCAGATGGGTGAAGGTCGACCCTAATTCGTATCCTCTACTATAAGTCACCATTTCACCCGATTCACCATATCACCCTGGTTTTCTCTAGTAGAAATTACATTAATTAAGTAACAGTTATTTTGTCCAAGATGTTGTGAAATTATATAGATTTATTTTGTCACTATTATGAAACTAGTTTAATTTTTAAGAAACAGGTAGAAAGAAAAAAAAGATCCTTTAGCCTAATCAGATTTATTATTTTTATACTGTAACAATTATACATTCGAAGTTAGTAATTAGCAACATCCAGATATGTTTAATATTTAATTACAAAAGTGATATCCATATCAATATGGTTCTATGTACTATTGAAAATTACAAAAAAGCTAGTTACACTCATTGCAAAAAAATCATTTATTTACTTATATACGTATTTTAATTCCCCAAACATATCCTTCGACAAAACGTTTCAATTTTCGTCGATAAATGAAAAAAATTCAATCGAAATTATGCTGATCAACAATGAATTACAATGAAGAGAAGAGTCGTTGAATTAAATATAGCAGGGCGGAAGAGCGCACGAAGCGGTAGCACTCCGAGCAGGTACAGCAACGTCCTCTTCCGAGCTTTCCGCCGACTCCTGTCGACGTCGATGCAGTTCCATATTAGCTTCCTGGATGGCCTCCCATAGCTTGGCTTCCGACATAATTTGCCTCGACAAATCCTCGACTGCTGGCTCTGCACTCAGCTCTAAGAGACTTCCTAAATTCTCGTCGACGAACTCGGACTGCTCCGGGATCGCGGGCAGATTAGAACGTTTGCGTCCACATCCTACGAACTTGAAAACAACAATCGCAAAATATTTTTTTCATACCTGTGAAAGCATTGCAGAAGGGCCGTTTTTTCGGTTCCAAGATCTTTTCGCTAGCGCCCAGATTCTTGCTTATGCTTTTGGGAAGGAAGCGACTGTGTGTTTCGATGGCGAGAGCGGCGAAAATGCAGATTACGAGGAGTTTGGCCGTGGTCATGTTCTCTGCGAAGAAGAGAATTAGCAGTGATAAATGGATAAGCATTATTGGAGGGCCCCCCCGCGATACTACAATGAAATACTCTATGCTGCCGGCTGAGTGGAATGCGAGGGTAAACGCCACCACGTCTGGCCCTGATTGTTCGTTGATCCAAGATTATGCACTAAATGGTTCCCGCACTTACAATGCGAGGGTGCCATTTACACGAAATGATTGTTTTGTAAGGATTATTGACACGTATAGTGTTTGCCACTTTTCATTTAGTGAAAAGTAAGTGCTAAAGGGTTCACAAGAGAGGATAATACAAAGTCAAACTTTATCCTGAGAGAAAAAAATAATTTTTATTTATCAATGGTCCATTCTTGTTCTGATACAACAACGCAATAACACAAAGGCGTACTGATTATCAGTTTTTCTCTTTCCAATTTTTTTTAAAATCCACTAAACCTCTCATTAATCTCAAACTTGGGTGATTCAAAAATGTCGGACCATCTGTTGGGTGGTGATAAAGGACATCCAAATGAATTAAAAGTTCCCATAACAAAAAAATGTTTGAACTGCTTTTTACAACATACAGGGTGTCTCAAAATTCGCGCACTTCCTTAAAAAGGAGTAATTGGGTAATCCCCCAGAGTACTGAAAAAATTCTATCTGTCAAAAAAATTTGACATATTTTTTGACGTTTGACATATTTTTATGTCTATTTAATGATACTGATAATCTTGTATATGTTTTTTTATAATCATTTATTAAAAGTACAAAAAATTTGCTAATAAAAGCCACAAATAACACTAAACAGAGTTACAATTTAAGATACAGCTTCCTTGTTTCTTCTAATAGCCTGTAGCAAAAAAACTTGGAAAATTATTTTTCTAACAGAAATAAATAGAGTCAAAGAGCAAAATTTAAACTCATAACTTCGAAATTTTTATAGATAAGTAGTTTTTTTTAACATTAAGTACTTGTTGTCTAGGGCATCGCTCGATGATACAGTGTCACGGAGGTGCGCGATTTCCGGACATCCTGTATAGCTCTTAAAGATTAGATTTTAAGTTAAATTTTTGTCCGTTCAGATCAAGTTTTCTTGAAGTTAGTTAGCGGAAACGGCCGATCTTGCAACATAGAACAGATACCGGTTGAAAAAAATACCAACTTGTGTCTTATGCTGTACAAAACATTTAATGAACTAGCAAATTCAACAATAAATTAAATGTGACAACATCGGAGCCAAAAGAGCTAAGATGTCTACATGATAATATGGAAATTAACAGTTCTGGTTTTTCTCAATTAAAAAGCTTGGAAAAATTCTTAATTCATTTTTGTGCTTAGCTGAAAGTCTTCCATCACCATTCGAGAGTTGGTCCCATATTTTTGAATCACCCTGTATGTAAAATAATAAAATAACATAAATAAAAAACGAAAATTTTATTGAAAATGAAATTTGGTGTTTAGTTGTTTTTATTAATCTTTGTTTATTAAAATATAATTGGTTAAGTTTTTCTTAAATGGACTGCTTAGAATCATAAATCAGTGCTTTCAATTATTATTAATAATTAAAAATACCGGTTTAATACGTAGTAAAGCAGTAGTGTTCTACAAAAGTTAAAGGGGAAAATTTACCAATCACAATTCTGATAGTTTTGGTAACTCTTAAGTATTAAAAGTCACTAAGTACTTATTTAATTGAATTAACTAACTGAATGACCTAACAGAATCTAATTCACTAATTACCTAATTGAAGGGCTTTACTAGAAAGTAAAATTCTTGTTAAATACAAAAAAAACTTAGTGGCAACATGTTTAAACAATTATTGCTGATAAAGATGTAGGACCACATAACTACACAAAAATTATAAGATTAAATTGGACCTAAAAGACAAAACGAAAAAACAACAATAATAAAACTGATTGAAAGTGGGCTTTTCGTCTTATTTTTGTATTGAAATAGCTAAAAATTCGAATAAATTTGTCTCCTGTGCAATTTCAATTGGTTTTGGTTAGAATTCAATTAAATTCTATGGAAAAATTAAAAAATTCATTTCCAAAATTTCTTGTAATCATAATATTTTGTATTCGTAATAACAATGCCCATTATAAAAATTTACTTTTTTTGTGGAACGAAAGTGGTTACTTTTAGAACTACAGGTGCTATTTTTTCAAAATTCCTCCAATAGAAATTTAAAAAATTTGCAGTTAGCATCTTAAAAAAGTGCACGTCTAAGAAGGTAGAAAAAGTGAAATTCTTAAATAGTGTAATTGATAAAAGTATAATCTCAAAAGAAATAGGAGTAATTAATTATTGATGCAGTCCTTTAGATGACTTTAAAACATTTCTGGATTTTTATTTATCATTTAAACTTCTGTGTGTGTAAAGTAATAAATTGGTTTGCTGTCAAGTTAAGCTTTCAAGTAAAATCATATTCACAAATAGAACAAACATTTTTAATATTTCTTTTTGTGGATTTATGCGTAAAAGATTTGTTTTTTTTGTTCTAAGTATTGTTTTTTCTTTCAAACTAATAAGTATCAGTCTTTGTAAATATCCTTTTGTTTCTCTTTATAACTTCTGGCTTAATTCAATGAATTAAGTTTTTCGGGAAAAAAATTGCAAGAACATACATTTAATTCTTAAAATTTTACAAAATCATTGACACATTTGTTTATCAATTAAATTATGTAATTATTACATTTTTTCATTAAAAAACATGAAAACCGTTTGTTTAAATAACATTGAAAAACGCAATAATTATGTATGAAATTGAAAAAATCAAATGAATTCTTGTTTTTTTTGTCACTTACTGATATTGAAATTCGTAAGTAGTAACTTGAAAAATAACACTACTTATTTTGTAAACAAATGAAATCGCTATAGGGGAATTAAAAGTTTTACACAATTTAAATATTTTTCAGAAATAAACTCACCAGTTATTCGCTTGCCACAGTATTATATACATATGCAGTAGTTAATACAAAATGAAAGTTCTGATTAAGATCCTTTTTCATATATATATTGTTTCCCCAACCCCCAAGATTGCGCACTCAACCGACAACCCATTATCGGGTGTCATGTTCTAAAATATCGGGAAAAGACTTGTCAAAAACATTTTAATATAAATAGAGAATTAATAGCTTTTCGAAGCACCATTTAAAACCTTAATAGCTTTTCGTTAAATGTATCCAGGATGAAGTTTTTGCCATTAAAAAAACGTCATCCAGCGAAAAATAGTGTTAATTAAAGCCATCGAATCAAAAATAATTGTTAGTTACTCGTATGTGCACAACAGTAACGAGCTTAATCGTCTTTAGTGGACATGTAATCCCTTAGGTTACCCTCATTAATGCAACGGCTTTGTAGTGAACATGTGATAAAGTTTGTCTCTTATTAAAATTGCCCACCTTTCCGTACTTTATTTACAAAAAAGCCGTCACATGTAACCACAATAATGATCCTTGTAATTCCTGACGCCAAGGTGGAAACTCGCTACAATAATAAGAGAATTATAATGCAGAAGGTGGCATGAAATTAACTTGTATACATACAAAAGATAATGAAGGAAGAATGTTATGAAGGGGTTGGTTGGAATTATGAAATATGAATGCGGAGGCGTACCTGCGACCCCTTGATATAGGGCATGCGCTTTGGGGTGAAGATGATACAAGGGCGGAGTTTGATGCCCACACCGACTTCCAATCCCTGCGGGAGACGTATATCCGCCGCAAAACGGCAGGATAATAATGTCAAATTGTCCCATATGCACCCGGTGCACAGCTCACTTTACATAAGCCAACGACTCCCTAAAATGCCGGTTTCAAACGATTTTATCTCCAAGAGGAAATCTTATTTCACCCCTCTTAAACTAAACCTATTTTAAAGGAATAAAAATATCTATAAAAAGGATGCTTTAACTTTTTTACACAACAAATTAATTGCATCCTTTTTCTTTGAGATAAATAAATATTCTTGCAATTGGTCGTTGTGCATTTTTTATTAAATCCCTCTTATCTTTGACATACAGGTGAAATCTTTAAGTAAACTTTACTACGCATCTCAAATTTAAAATTCAACTCTTAAATTTGAGTAATATAAAAATTACAAACGTTAAGAGACTGGAGAAAAACTAAATAAATTGTTTTAATGAACGTTTCAAGGAATACCTCAGAGTGCAAAGTCGATTTATAAATTTAAAATCAGAGTTTTCCAATTTGATGACTTGATGAGAGTAAGCGCTGACTCCGCTAACAAGCATTGGCGTCACATTATTTATATTTATTTGAAATGAGTTTTATATTGTTTATGTTTCAAATTTTAATCAAAATTCAATTTGTGTGTTGTGTTCAAGAGAATAAAAATGTAACAGGAAATACAGGATGCATTACGAAAAACGGCCCAAGCCATAACTTCATTATTTTCAAGATATGACATTACTTCTTGGAACAAAGTTGCATAGTTAGTTGTTATCTATTTTTTGGAATTGATGCTTAATCAATGCTACTTATACTGCTTCACCGGAAGTGAAGCAATTTTAGTTTTTAAATGGACCACTCTGTATATCTTATTATTATTTTTGTATTCCTCGGTAAATTGTCTTTCAACAAGTTCACTCTCAATTATCAGTTTATCACTAACTATTGCTTTTAGGCAATTTCTAATTTGTAAATTATTTTGCAAATTTTATCTAAGACAAGAAAACGACTGATAACAAAAAACTGCTCAACTTTGATCAAAAAAGTATTGTAATATTTTTCAAAATAATGAAGTTATGGCTTGGGTGTTTTTTACATACATACAGTACGTGTGTTCCTGGAAACAAACGACTCTTGTAAAAGTTAAAAAATCCTTGATTTAAATTTAATTTTTTTTTGAGGGGTTCAGCCCTGCTTGATTAAAGATTAATTTCTAACATAATTTTAGTTTTGAAAAATCAATTATGCCTTGGAAATTTTCAAAAAAAACTATTTTCTGAATGTAGAGTAAAGTGTCTTTTATGTGGCAAATACGAGAAAAAGTTATTAAGAAAAGTTGTTTAGAATTAACATTTAGGTAGTCTCCTATATCAAATTTCAAAATCATCGAGCTACTATGATGTTGAATTAATTAATTAATTAACTAAATCGTTAGTCAAATTTTTAATTCGTTTTCGCTAACGTAGGCTTAAAATGTTTTGATTCTTTTCATCCATGTTGTTTATTAAACACGTTGGGAACTGCTCAAATTGATTTATTTTAGCCGAAATCTTTGATTTAAGCTATTATTTCGAAGGAAAATATTAATTTACAATGACTTTAGACTTAAAATTGAGTCAAATCGATCGAAAGTAGCACAAACTGCTTTGTTTTGCACGAAAATAACACTCATGAATGCTTCAATGGCATTCAATTTCAAAAATTGAATTTGGCGTTTGTACTATCTATCTGTTTATGTGTATCAGTCTAATGTTCAATGCATCGTCGTCTCGATAGAAATAATTCTTTACTCGCCTGGGCATTTTTTGAGTTTAATTGATTCCCGTTGGCGCTTTAATCTGGGGAATTTTTTTAACACATTCAGTATTTTAGCTTAAAGGGTTCAACCTCATAATCTAGTTTTGTTGTATTCTTCCTTCCCAGCTTTTGTTAATTGCATTATTTTTCGTTAATAATAATTAAAAATCATTCAGTTTTTCCTTAGTAACCCCCGTAAATTTCATTAAGGAGGAGGTGGTTCAATGTTATAAATTAATATATTGGATGATTTTTATGTTTATAAAAAGTAATAAATTATTATTTTAAAATCTGTAAGATATTATTAAAATTAGAAAAATATTATTATATTAGTAAAATATTTGTCTGTTTCTAAGAAATTTAATTATAATTTACACTTATTCTGGACAAAATTAAACGGCTACCAACAAAACAAAACAAATACTTCTCATGGAAATCATAAAAAAATCATAATAGTCATAGGCAGATAATTTCTACATTATTTAACTTGTATTTCAAGGAAGAAAATGTAAAAGTAATCCAGCTAAACGTAGCAAAATTTCGATTTTCTTAAAGGACCACAGAATTAAATTTTGTCTATATAACTGCATTTAGATCAGAATTCTTTGAAAATAGCTATTCAGTTTCAAGGTTTTTGAAGCTTTGTTGGGCATCTTTTTTGAAATACATAAAAAAAACATATTATTTATTGTTATCATTGTACAAAATAATGAACTACATCAAACTGTTGTACATAATAACCTCTGGAAAAAACTTAAACTTTGCAAAATTAATTTAGGAAAACAAGTAATATACTTTTTTATATTTAGAGTGTACATAATTATGTAATTTATACATAATTTTGTGCGTACAAGTAATTATTAATAACATTATTTGTAATTTTTTTTATTATGTTAGTTTAAAAAATGTTCATTGAAAATCTGCTCCAATATCTCAGAATATGCTAATAATGACCAGGAAATAGGCCAATAAAATTAAGAGCGCAAAGTAGTGTTAATTGTAACAAATGTTTATTTGATTATTGTTTGTGTGACGCAAATTATTGTTTTTCTCCTATATGAATCAGTGAAAATTTTGATATACCTAATGAACATTTGGGACAAACACATACGTACTTAAATTAATAAACTAGTAGCTTTCACGCATCATTACAAACCAATCTACTCGTCAAGATTACACTATCTCGCCACTTGTACTTATCACTCCATGTCATGTAATATTATATTTTCAAAACATGAAAAGTATCCAAGCAAAAATTTTTAATTAAAATTAAGCTTCCTTTATGGTATGAGACACACCGCCGCGCCATATACCTGTAGTCGAAAATGATGCTATAGAAAGCTAATAAGAGAATTCGTGGGGAATTATCCAGGTTGAGGGCTGAGGTCGGGAAATCGCGTGGGGGTGTGTCCGCACATTAAACCCACCCCTGCGGCTGGAGGGGTTCGATGATGAGCACCGGAACAACTATACCTTGTGTCAGTGAGATAACCAACTTGCTCTCTGCAAGCTTTATTTTATTAATGCACTTATTAGCCATGTGTTTCGTCAGTCTTCAGTCTTAAACGCGACGACAGACTTGTGTGCGTGCTAATTGCTCTCAAGTGTTTGTACAAGAGGTACGTGATGTGATTATTCCTGCTGAAAATGCTCCACCATTACAACTACTCGACTTCCCTGTCCCATTTCCTGAGTTACCACCACCTGGAGGACCAGCAGTTGAGCGAAAATGAGCACCAGTCGGGTGGGCTTTGCGAGGAGCAGGAAGATCCCCGTTGCAGGAGCAATTCTTCTGCTAGTAATAACAAATCCTTCACAATTGCGGCAATCCTGGGACTAAAAAATGACTCGAATCAGGACGACACGGCGACGGATTTGAGCGTCGTCAATTTGAGCGTCCATCATCCACAAGTCTCGAATTGCAATCGGTTGCAACTTCCGGTACGTCACAATACCGCTGCAGTAAGCGTGACAGGACATTACTCGGTCGGGCATGGGTGCCCCCAAAGACAAGCAGGTTAGGAGGATTGGATTGCGTTTCGACTCGGATTTCAAATTTTTTTCCAGTGAGAGGATTGAAACATCTCTCGTCGTCAGTGATACAGAGTAAAAAAAGTTGTAAAAGTAAAAGAGTTCGAACGATTTTCACTCCGGAGCAGTTGGAGAGGCTCGAAGCGGAATTCGAAAGACAACAGTATATGGTCGGGCCCGAACGGCTCTATTTGGCTCATACCTTACAGCTGACTGAAGCTCAAGTGAGGCGGGAGACTGTGGAAGAATCCGCGATTTATTTGTCTTTTTCAGGTTAAAGTTTGGTTTCAAAACAGGAGGATTAAGTGGAGGAAGCACCATTTAGAATTGACACATCAACGTCTTGCGGTTTTGAAACAACAGCAACTTCTTCTTGACGAGGCTCCCGACGTTCAAGACACGAATAGTTCGAGCACCGACACGTGAAAGCTCCATTCAAATTGACTTAATCAAGTGGAGCTTGTAAATATTGTGTGAAAATGTAGCTAATTATTTACCAAACCCGTGGAATCTCTTTGTTACATGAATTAGTTTGTAAAATTTTAAATACACCATTTGATTTTAAATCGTTTTTTTCTCTCACCCACTAAATTACAAAAATCATATCTCAACTTACCAGTTTTTATCGAATCAAACGAAATTAAATTCTATCCAATTAAAATGTCACCGAAAAAGTAATAAATCTGGACGAGTGGTCGAGCACTACGGAAGTTGTTTAAAAAATTAACTAAGCGAAAATTGATATTAGCTACTGTTTTATACCAAAAATTAAATTATGGAGAATACACGTCGTGTTTTTGGATTAAAAATGATGTATGAGGTTTATCCTGCTTCGTAATTATTTTTATTATTTATTGGATTTTAGATAAAAAGCTCGATGATATTATTGACAACTTAATCATACATGGTGATCTTTTATGCATTTTGGGCGATTACATTAATTTTGTGTAAATACGAGTAAAAAAACTTCCCCACTACTCATAAAAAATTAATTTATTTTTGTTACTGAGTAAACAAAAGCAATGCAACCGACTGTTGCTGATAGGGGAAAAGGGGAGATTGGCCTTATGGTCTTTAATTGGCTTAAACAGGATAAGTACATTACATGGGATTCTGCTTTTCATTTCCTCATATTATGCTAAGAATAAAATTTGAGATAAATATATCTTTTTTTTTTACTGAAATTTCACCAATTGTAACAGTTCGTTGCGAACTCTTTATTAAGTATTGTTATTAATGAAGATTTTATAATCAATAATACCCACACGAACGTCGTACAAGTTACCAAAAATTGCTTTAATGAAATAAGAATAATGTTGATGATTATCACAAATGTTAAAACTAACGTTTTTTTGGCACAACCTTTTCGACAACTACAGCTTTCACGTTTTGCATCATTTGAAATAAAACGTTTTTGAACTTCTTATATCTGTGAATATTTTTCGTTATTCATCTGAATCCATTTTGTAACTACATTTTCAAGATTTCATACAAAAAAATATTGGAAAATTCCGAAAAGTACACATCCATGCCTTTCAGTGTTAGATAAATCAAAAATCAATTTCGGTTTTTAGTGCTTCTACTAGTAAAATTGATAATTCAACAAAAAAAATTTATTAGTAAAAATGTAAGATATACAGAGTGTGTCAGAACATTAAACATTAAACAGAGTTACAATTTAGGATACAGCTTCTTCGTTTTCTCTTCTAATAGCCTGAAGCAAAAAAACTTGTCAAATTATTTTTCCACCAGAAATAAATAGAGTCAAAGTGCAAAATTTAAACTCTCATGACTTCAAAATTTTTATAGACAGATTTTTTTAAAAATTAATTGACGTTTCTTTTATTATCTATAGTGGTTAAGTATTTTGCGTTGTACAACAGCCTTTTGTGGTTAACCGACAAAAAAAGAGTCATTTTTTTGTACTGAAAATGTAACGAAATTGTCAACATTTAATCACAGTTTTTGAAAAAGTAGATTTTTGTATCTAATAAATACAGATTTTAATTTTTTTTTGAGTATGCCTCCAAAAAGATATTTTGTATCTTGTATTGCATAAAATCATGTGTGAACTTGTGTCTGCGGAAGATAAACGGTCCTAATGACAAATAAGAAATGTCAAAATATTTTTTATGTAAATTATGACAGAAAACAACATCTCATTTTAGGATGTTTTAAGAATAATTCAACTTGCTTAGATCAATATTTTAATTTTTATAAAATAATTTTTTGACATCTAGTTACGAACTGCTATACAGACATACGTCTTCAACTAGTATGCCTACTTGATAGAATGACTTTTTGATTGCAATGTAATAATATGTTGTATGTAATATTACAAAAAATTTACGAAGATATTTCGCTATAGTTACGTTGAAGATCCAGAAAAAGTGAAAGTTACGTAGCTACCACAAAAATTGCTAGTTGGGATAAATAGAAAACAATGAAGAAATGGTTTGTGATGCTTTTTACATAGAGAAAACACCTTCTAATTATTAAAAATAAGAAGCTGTTGTATTTATGAAGCACAACTTAAAAAAACTTAAAAGTATTTTTTTGTACTCATAGCTTTTGGATAGCTATTCCCTAACAAGCATTTCCCGCACTGTAGTTCTTTTTACTTTGTAATAACATCTAGGGACATTTATAAGGTTGATATTGCTACAGTTGAGATAAACGAAATCATTGAATCCGATCGTTCACGACTTTTTTCATGTAGCAAATGGGATACTGCTTCGTTCGAACGCCTTCTAGTGGTGTGCATCCTCTAGTGGTGTGCATCCTCTTTTGCCGCTCATTGTGAATTTAAGACAAACGGACAGTGACACTTTAACCAGTGACCACCTCATCACCAAAAAAACTAAATTATGATAAATTATATATTTTTAATTTTTTTGAGTTATTGGTTACAAAAAATGTTGTACCTATTTTTTTTTGAAAACAATTTTTGAATGCACATTCGCATTCATGCAGCACTCCCTGCGGTCGTGTTGCAAACAAATTGCTCCTGTGAGAAATTGTATTTTCCAAACACGTTAGGTAAATAACTATTACACATTTTCCAATTGTATTTCAGATAATATCAAATGAAGAAATTTGATTAAAGAGAACATCAGTTGTAATTCAGATTAGTTAATAGTATTTTAGAAAATGTCAAAGAACGTCAGATTAGTAAATTTTTCTGTTTCACAAATTGTAAGTTGGACTTTGTATTAATAAAATCAAGTAGATAATAGGTAATGTTAGACATTTATTTTGAATTAAAGATTTTACACAAGCTAAACAAAAAAATGTAATGAAAATTAGAACATAGATGTTTTTTAACACAAATTTTAATTTTACATACAGGGTGCGCCACAACTCGCGCCCCAGAGAAAATTTTCAAGTAAGGTAAGATACCAGGAACATGAAAAAAATGTTTAAAAAATTCTAACTGTCAAAAAATTTTGACATTTATTTTTTGACATTTGACATTTTTTATATCTATTTAATGATACTGATGATCTTGTATATGTTTTTTTACAATTATTTAGTAAAGGGACAAAAATTTTGCCAATAAAAGCCACAAATAACATTGAAAAGAGTTACAATTTAGCTTCCTTCCTTCCTACAGCTTCCTTAATTCCTCTTTTAATAGCCTATAGCAAAAAAATTTGAAAAATTATTTTTCCAACAGAAATAAATAGAGTCAAAGTGCAAACTTTAAAGCCTCATAACTTCAAAATTTTTATAGATAAAATTTTTTTAACATTTTTTGCATGTTTCTGATATCTTACCTTATATGACATTTTTCTCTGGGGCGCGAGTTCTGGCGCACTCTGTATTTCAATTTAAGGAAAAGAAAAGTCAGTTTTTTTCTTGTGGTTTTATCACATAATTTTAATTTTTAACCCTAAAATGTCCAAACTGTTATTCAAAATGTTATTTCTAGCTTCCTTATTTCCTCTTCTAATAGCCTGTACCAAAAAAAACTTGGAAAATTATTTTTCCAACAGAAATAAAGAGTCAAATTGCATAGACATCTTTATAGACAGATTTTTTAACATTTTTTTCTGGTTCCTGGTATCTTATCTTATATGGCATTTTTCTTTGGGGCGCGAGTTCTGGCGCATCTGAAATTGATAATGAAGCTTTTCTTTCTTGTATCTTAAATATAGCATTTTTAAGTTACAATACTGTTTTTTCTGTGCAACATATACGTTCAATAAGTGTTAATTTGTGAACCCGGCGCATCCACCAAAAATGAACAATTTCGGATTCGTGTAATTCGACAGTTGTGAGTTTGTGGGCGATGGAATGAATATAAAACGTCATAATGTTTCACTGTAAGTGTTTCACTTTTGATGTAGAGTCTGTAATAAATATCTTTCAAAACCGTCAATAATAAAATTCCCTTTGTGAGCGTTCATACCTACCAACATCTCTAAAATAAATCTCATCAGCAACAATGGCAACTGGCAAATATTAGTAATATTCCGTCGGTTGAGAAGCAATAAATAAATACCAGAATCAAATAAAGCAAAACGGGGGCCGCTTAAAAAAGTAATTACACATCAAACGAATCCCAGAAAAATGCGGTCGGAATTCATATTGTTTTCATAACATAACGAGCCGTTTCTGCGGTGCGATATAAACTGTCATATATCAAGAGGCAACGAGCATCAAGGGTGGTAGGGCCAACATCCCCTCGCTGTCCCATCACATGATTGACTATGTTAATATCATTTGTCGGCAGATTTGAAAGCAAGTCAAGCACCGGTGCTAAATCCGCTCTCGAGATTATATTGGGTCCGTCGCTTCGCTCTCATTAAACTCCAGATTTAATATTATACAGCTGCATCTTAGCGGAGATTTTTAAATTTCCTCTTATTACTTCATTATTAAACAAACGGCGACCCTTCCGATATTAAATCTTGAAAAAACCGGAGATTTCTCCGATGGAGGTGACAACGGATTCCCAGTCTGAGATATATCGCATCAACAAGAGACAATAAAAGCTACAGAATGAAGGGCAGGACGATGCTTTCACAAAATAAAATAGTCATTCGCTTCGCTTTTATTAAAAGTCAAGCGTGCGCATATTGGCTGGGCATTGCTTGGTCCCCCGAATTCCTGCATAGCTCTTTCACCCTCCTCTATCTGTCTCTACATTACGGACATCTTCTCTTTATACGCTCTTCTTATTTAACCAATTTATGTCGTACCATTTAAAATTGTGCTCGCTATTTATTGGTCCGCTTTGTTCGCCTAAAATACTCGACAGTTTTGTTCTTTGCTTCCTAGTCGAGAGAGCCTAATTGCACCAATTAGCAAATGTTGTAAAATCAAACGGTTTCCAGTTACGATTTTTTTAAAACAACGTCGTCATCGTGTTGACGAGCATATTGAGTTGAGTGAAGTAATTAATTTCTTGAGATGAATTTCAGCGTTAAGATATTATGAGTAAATTACCAAT